GTGATGGTAAACAGTCCGAAAACCAAATCTGAGCTCAGAACAATTTCTGCCCCGTATCTCTACCCCCGGTTATCACCCCCTGAAGGCGCTGCTCCCACGCTCTCTGTTACTCTGCCACATCTATTTTAGCTGTAGGCGTACTTGTGAAATAATTTTAAAATCCCGATCTAGCATTAAAAGAGTAAAAAAAAAAGCAGCAGAGATGTGGAGAGAGGGAGGTTGGATTCGCTGTTACTTCCTCAACTGCGTGCGAGGGGAAACTTTGCCATGACTGAAGTGGGCCCAAGGTACCGGGCCAGAGAGAGGCGAAAAGCTCTCTCGTTCTCTCTTTCTTTCTTTCTTTCTTTCTCTCTCGGTCTCTCCAGCTTCCATTTATTTTCCTTTCTTTTTCTTGTATGTCTTTCCCTCTCGAGCTCTCCCTGCTTTCCCTCTCCCCGTTTTCTCTCTCCCCCCTCACTCCCTTTCTCTCCCGCCCGGCTCGCACCCCAGCTGCACACCACGAAGCCCTAGTGTGTATCGCTCCCGTTTCATCCCAAGTATCCGTAGAAAAGAGCGGGCCGTGAGAAGGGACATGAAACTGGCGAGCCGCGGGTGTGTGCGTGTGCGGGTGTTAAACACCGGAGTTAAAGGTCTAGAGCCACAAAGGACAACAAAGTGGGGCTCGGGTCCTCTCTCACGGGCCGAGCAGACACGCGTGGCCCGGGGCGCTCGGGACACGGTGCCGGGGCTCCCCCGCCGCCAGGTCCGAAGGCGACGCCCCCCCGCGCCGAGCGCAGCCGGCCCGGCCCTCCTCTCCCCTCTCTTCTCTTTTCCCCTCTCCTCTCCCCTCTCCTCTCCTCTCCTGGCCGCGCTCGGCTCGGCGCGCTGGCGAATCAGAGAGTGTCGGAATCTATTGCCTTTGTCTGACAAGTCATCCATCTCCGGGGAGGCGGGCGGGGGGCTGAGGGCGCTGCGGCTTTTAGAGAGACACACACCGGGAGCGGAGGCTCCAGTCTCCGGCCTCGGCTCCTCGCAAGCACTTCCCACCTCGAGCGAAAGTCCGCCGGGCGCCGGATCCTCCGCCCGGCCGAGAGGAGGGGGCGCGCCGCCGCTCGAAGCTTTCCCGGGGATTGCTACTCCGCTTTGAACTTAAATGAACTAGCCCCGGACCCCGGGAGGAGGAGGGAGAGCCGCGTCCTCCTGAGCCTTCTGCCGCTCGGCCGCCAGCCGGCCCTTGCCCCGGCACCCCCTCCCCGCTGCCGGGGATGCTCCGGGCCCCCCCAGCCATGACACCCATCTGCCCCCCGGCGCCGCCAGCCCCCCGCTCCCACGGACTCTGCTGACTCCGCCGCCCGGCCCCAAAGCACCCCGGAAAGTACTTCGCGCCCCACTCCGCCGGGCAGGGGGGCCAGAGCTCCCCACCGCTCCCATCCTCTCCTCTCCTTGTGTGTTTTTGTTGGTTTTTTTTGTTGTTGTTTGGTTGGTTGGTTTGGGGTTTTGTTTTGTTTTGGTTTTGGTTTTGTTTTTTTTTTTCTCCCCTAAGTATTGAAGTTGAGTTTTAGAGGCGACACGGCGGCTTCAGCCGATTTCTTCCCCTTCCTTTGCCTCCCCATGGATATGCACTGCAAGGCAGATCCCTTCTCAGCAATGCACCGTGAGTACTGGAGCCCGGCTCCTTCCGCTGCTATCCTTTTCTCATCCCTTCATTCTTCCTTCCCCAACCATTCTTTCTCACCTGATCCTCCTCCAGGTCCATCCCTTCACTGCCAACCTCCCCTCCCCTGGCCGAACCCCGGCTTAGAGAGAAGGCAGGACGGGCATTCGCCGGCCAAGCGATGGTGCTGGTCAGCCCGGGCCGGGAGCAGCGCTCCGTGCCTCGCCGTGCCGGGGCAGGGGCCGTAGCGGGGATGCCCATCCCGGCCCAGGGGGCTACCTGCGGCTCTCCCCGTGTCGCGGGTGTGAGGAGCCCCCCGAACCAGACCTCTCCTCCGCAGCGGCACTTTCCCCATCGCCCCTGAGCCAACACGAGTTTATTCAGACTCGTGTCAGTACCCGGGCCGGACCCTGTCGCTGTCCCTGCTCAGCGGGCCAGGGCTTCCCGCAGCCCTGCGCGGCCCTGTACCCCCCGTTACTCCGCGATCCGGTGCTGTTCACTTTGATTTCGGGATGCAGTGACAGAGAGGGGAGACGTCAGGTTCAAATTAATGGCGGGTTGGTCGGTGGCGGTTCCGTGCTTTGGTCTGGTTTGGTTTGGTGAAAGGCTGAACTGCGGGAAAAATAGGACAGTTTTATGGCTGGGATATCTGATGGTTTCGGAGGCTCCCAAGAAGTCTCGGTCCCCCCTGGTTTATTTACCAGATCCCCGTTGTGCATTTTAAACGCATTCCTAGCAGAGAGGGAAGCGCATTCGTGATATATTATCACTTTAAAGAACCTTTCTCTAAAAGGGGGACCGAGGAAAGCGAAAAGACGCCTTTGCCAGGGACTGTAACAAGAAATTTCCAGGGATTTTAATTTCATCTCAAGGAGGGAAAATATTTCCGAGATTTAAATTAAAGAAAAAAAATACAAATAGAAAGCCGAGATTGAGAGCGAGCTTCTCGAGTCAGGAAATGAATAATTAAGAGCAATTTGTAACTTTTGACACCGAAACTTTTGAGGACACGTCCTGCCCGCTGCAGGAAACCCAACTGAAAAATGGAAATGCTGGAAGTTTAAAAAATCCCGATTTTTGCCGTGAGAAGGAAGGCGCAGAAACACAAACCCATCCTCAGATCCCCAGACGGGGGTGTAGGCAACTGTCTTCCTGTTTCCAAATGAATGATTTCCAGGATACAATGCTTAAAACGCAGCGTTTAATTTTCTAAGACCTTTACCAGAAAACAGCTTCGTGCATTAGACATGATTTTTAGTTTCCAGCGGTGCGACCCGCTTCCAGCCGCGATGGCAGTAATTCTGCCTCCGGTACGATCGGAACATGCAGCCGAGAGAGGCTTCTCACTGCCGCTGCTTTCAAAATAAAACTCCGGTGAGATTCATGAACAATTTTGGGTTCCGATTAAAAAAAATAATAACAAAATCAACGTTCGATTTGTTCCATGAAGTGTATTTGTAGAGCGACAGGCTGAGATATTAGTGAACAATTAAAATATATGCAGGCACGGGCTCCTCACACACAGAACACCATCTGTACGGGAGAGGGTGTGTGTGTGCACAGCCATCGGCACTCACAGGCATATAAATACACACACATATCTGGCCGCTCCGATAGAAATAACCTTAGAAAACCACGGGACAGAGCAAAACAAACTCGTGTGAAAAATATCCGGGCTGCGAGAATGTGAATTATTCATTTTTAATCTTTTTTGCCTCTGTTGCCTTTTAATACTTTGTAATGCGAGTTATAAAAGGTGCCTTGAATTATTTATCATGGAGTTGCCGAAGAAATTGCTGTCCTGTAACTTTAGAGGCAACATGTGCAGAAGGGGTTCTGAACAAATGAAGAAAACACATGGCAACATACACCTGCGGGTTTCAGGACGATAAATATGCCCCCTCCCCACTGAACCCCTAAAGATGTTTTTAAAAAGACTAACAAAAGAGTGCAGCGAATAAGCCCTGCTCCTGGGGAAAGGACGCGGAAGGCAGCCGGAGCCCGGCAGAGGCAGCTGGGAGGGTGTATGTGGAGGTGCTACTGCAGGGGTGGGGGAGATGGAAAAAACTCTATTTGTGAGAAAAGGACTTGGATCGATCGCAGGGCAATGAGAGTTTCCACTAAGTTCAGAGCCAATAAGTCAGTGTCAGAGGCAGGGGAGAAAAAAAAAATAAAGAAGAAAAAAAAACCAGAAAAAAAAAACTTAGCGAAAATACAAACAGATCATTTTTCAGCAAACTGCAAAACGAACAAAGATCTCTTCACGAGGAAGATGCAGGAGGTTAGGGTTGTGTGAAAAGAAAGCTTTAATACAGTGTGCGCTCCACAGCTATATCAGCTGGCTCTTTGGAGACAGAGACGCGCAGGTAGCAGTGTTAGCGAAGCTGCACCGCCTGCGAGCGAGCATCCATCCATCTATCCATCCATCCATCCATGCATGTATCCCTCCCGCCCGGGCAGGGCGAACTGCTCCCCTCCCTACGCTGACCGCCCCGGTGGTGGTCCCGCCGAGCCCCCACAGGAGGTATTTCCCTTTATTCCGCCGCTCCGTTCCCCTGCCCGCGCTGAGCAGGTGCACACTTATTTCCCCCCCCCAAGTCATTTCTCGAAATGGAGAAAGACAGATCGGAAAAAGGCGATCATAGCAGTTCTAGATGAGAGAAAGCGGGGTTTTGCCTGGAAAGTGGGAACAGAGGAAAATGGAGCATTTTTTAAATTCTCTCTGAATTAGGTTTGTGTGAGGGAAAAAAAAAAAAAAAAGAAAAAGAAAAAAGACAGACCCTCATGAGTCTGTTAGGATTATAATTTATTTTTACCGGAGGATTTATCCTTTCAAGCTCGCAAGCTGGGTGAGGAGGGTGAGGGTCTGTTTGTGAATGAACACCGGCCGCGGGACACAAAATATTTTCTCTCTCCCTCCCACTCCCTACATTTCTTTCCCTTTCTCTCTCTGAATCCCTTCAACTCGCATCCCAAAATAACGGGAGAGGACGCGGTGCATGGGGGACATGCCGCGGGGTGAGGGAGGGCGGGGTTCGCCAGTAACTCTAATTGACAGCGTGATAGAAAATCGTGAAAGAAAATGAAAGGAGAGAGGAAAAGCCCGGGAGCAGAGAGCAGGGGGCTGCGGCGGGGCCGCCTGCGCCGCCGAGCAGCCGAGCTCGGGAGTTGGGGCGCGCACCTCTCCCTAGCCCTTGCGAGAGGAGCCGCCGGGTCGCTCACCCCCCTCGCCCGCCGCTCCGGGCCAAGCAACCGCCGCTCCATCGGGGGCCGCGAGAGGGGCACGGGCTCTCCCGCCCAGGGAGGGAGGGAGGCTGCGTTCGGCGGACAGTCCCCGACTCGTGAAATCCATCCTGCCTTCTCTTTCCTCTTTTCTTTCCCTTTCTCTCTTGCTCATTCTCCTTTCTTCTTTTTTCTTTGCCTTCTCTCTTTACATTTCCTTCTCTTTATGTCTTTCCTTCTCTCTTTCTTGTTCTCGTTATCTTTTTTTTTTTCTCATTCTCTGTATCTTATTCTCCCTGTTTTTTCCTCTTCCTTTCTCTCTTTCTTCCTATTTCTCTTCTTCTCTCTCTCCCCCATGTCCTGTTCCCCCCCTTCGACCCCCTGCCATTACCCCCATCCATCTGTAGTCACTGGAGATTTTGCAGTTATGAGTGGTGAAGAGCCCACGACTAACGGTGTGTTTCTGGTGTGCGTGGGTTGTTGTGTTTTTTTTATTTCTCTTTCCCCAGCAGGGCACGGGGGTGTGAACCAGCTCGGGGGGGTGTTTGTGAACGGCAGGCCCCTACCTGACGTGGTGAGACAAAGGATAGTGGAGCTGGCTCACCAGGGGGTGCGACCCTGTGACATTTCCAGGCAGCTGCGGGTCAGCCACGGTTGTGTCAGCAAGATCCTGGGCAGGTAAGGACAGAGACAGCTCCTTCTCCTCCCCTGGGACGGCAACGGTGCTTCCCTTCCCCGCTCCGCTGTGACCTCCCTCCCCTTCCCGAGCGGCCCCAGCACCTCCGCGCCGCTGGAGCCCGGGGCTGAGCAGGGCCCCCGCCTCCAGCCGCCAAGGACGGGCTTCTCCCTCCCCGTTTGTGTTTGGAAACTCTTGGGAAGACAGACAATTTGCGAGGGGTGGGCGGGAGGGCGGAAAAGAGAAAGGACGGGGGAGGGGGGGGGAAGAGAGAGAAAAAAAAACGAAAGAAAGACAAAAAAATCTACAATAACAACAAAATCCCCAACTCGCAACAATCCGCGAGCGGCCTTAGCAAACACACGGGTAAATAAACACACAACGGGTCAAATAAATAAATAAACACCCCGGTAACCGATCGGCGCCAAATGTGGTGTGAAATATCCGCAGAGCAGGCTGGGGGGGCCTGGCGGCCCGGGCCCTGCGGCCGGGATGCGGAGCCGTGTCAGCAGGCGGCAGAACCCCGGGCGCTGCGTGCGGCTGCCAAGGACCGGCCAGAGCCGCGGGCAGAGCTGATGGACACGGATAGATGGGCTGCAGCTGCCCGCTATGGGCACCCGCTGCCGAGGGTCACGAGGAGGGCTGGGGATGGATAAACCGTGCCCCCGACTCACAGCCCTGCCAGCGCCCCGAGACGGGAAAGCTTGGCAGGGGAGGAGGTGTGAGCCCGGCACTGCCTGTGCTCCCTCCCCTGCCGCCCGGGCCGTCCCCGCGGTCAGCGGACCTCGCCTCCGGCCAGCTGCACCGGGGAGAGGGTTTCTGTTTTGTTTCCCGATGCCCGGGCCTGAAACGAGTGTGTGCGTGTAAGGCGGGGGAAGGGAGAGGCAGCGAACGGCCCAGCGCCCCTCGCTTCTCACACATAGGGGAAAAAAAAGAGGGAGAAAAAAGGTGGGTGGAGGGGAAGGAGAGCGGGAGCGAGCCCTGCAGAGGAGAAGGGACCTCCCCAGCTTCACCCCAGGAGGCCCGGCACCCCGCTGAGCTGCGCTATGCGGCCCCCAAGCCGCCGCGGCCCGACGCCGCGCTCCGGCGGGCCGAAGGCAAGGTGGGGAGCCAGACCGGGGTCCGCGGGGCGCTCCTTGGGGCGGCCGGGAACCGGGTTCTAGGGGGCGGCGGGGCTGTTCCGAGCACGGCAGGTCACTGACCGTCCTTTGTGCAGGTATTACGAGACGGGGAGCATCAAGCCTGGCGTGATCGGAGGGTCCAAACCCAAAGTAGCGACCCCCAAAGTAGTGGATAAAATCGCCGAGTACAAGAGACAAAACCCGACAATGTTCGCCTGGGAGATCCGGGACAGGTTACTGGCCGAGGGCATCTGCGACAACGACACGGTCCCCAGTGTCTCCTCCATAAACAGGTAAGGGCAACCCCGCAGCCCTGCTCGCGGCCCAAATGCCTCTTTACGTCCCCATAAACCCCCTGTCAACAGCGCAGACAGCCCGACCCTTCCTCGGCCAGGTTAGATCCAGACTGCTCCAGCCCCTGGCCCGCAGCGGGAGCGCTGGGCACGGCACGCCAAACCCCGGCCTACCGGGCGCTGCCTGGCCCCGCCAGGAGCCCCGAGCCCAGGCCCGGGCAGCTGTGGAGCAGTTCTACCCAGGGGCTCGCTGCTCCTGCCGCAGGGCTGCGGCTTTGCGGCTCCAGCCCGGGCCGGGCCGGGAAGCAGTGCTGCGGGAGCAGTAATCTCCCCGCCGAACAACCGGCGGTGCCGCAAGGCCGGGGGGCAGTTCGGGGTGACGGGTGGTGGAGCCAGGTTTTCCCCTGTCCCTTTTAACACCCCTCTCGGGCGGTCAGTGACCGCCAGCCTTGCCGCGGTATCAGGGCTCTGAATGAGCAGCTGCCCTTACCCGCTGCCAAGCCGTGCCTACAGCCCCGAGCCGCCGAGCGCTGGAGGGGGAAGGCTTTCCTTGCACCCTCTGCCCCGTTTCACACCTCATCTCTATCCCGAGGGAACGGCTCGGCAGGCACAGCGGCCCCTTCTCCCGGCGGGGAGCGCTGCTCCCTGCGGTGCTGCGGCTCCGGCCGATCCCGGCCCTCGCAGCGCGCTAGGAAGCAGCAGAATCGATTCAGCACTGGCGGGCAATTTTTCCCCATCTCCTTCCCCAGATGTTAGGGTGCGACTGTTGCTGATGGAGGGAGTGGGATTTGGCCTCAGGTTTAAGGTGACAAAAATAACCATATGACAGGCAAAAAAAAAAAAAAGAAAGAAAACAAAAAGAAAAGGGTCGATGGTGGAGAGAAAGGCCGGTGATAGCTGTAATCAGGGACTAACACACGGCAGGGCTGTCCACATGTCTGCACATGCAGACGCGGCACACATCGGATCTTCACACTCTGGCAACACACAACACTCTCATACACGCAGTAAAAGTAATCACGCTGGTTTACTGCAATGTAAAATACAGATATCTCGGCTATGCCCTCAGAAATACAACCTCCAGAAATAGAGTAACAAGAGGGTATTTGCAAAAGGTACACACATATAGGCACGCAATACCTCACCAACTGAGCAAGAACACACAAAAATTTGCATGCAATCCCAAATATACAGTGCTTCCCACTCAAATTAATCTGTATAGGGTGTGGGTAAATATGCATGCATGCTCTTGTAGTGTCCGCATAGATAAAACTGCACAAGTCAGTATATTGGCCCTTTTGATATATAACAAGTTTAGCCAGATCTTTTTTTAAAACCTGGTGTATTTATAGCAAGGGAAGCAAAAATTAAATAGCCAGAAAAACAGTGGTATTTTTTGTCTTGCACTTTTCATGGCAGATTTATCAAAATATGTCTAATAAATCAGACTGTGTATTTCTAAATCTGGCATCCTATATAAATGGGTTTTAATATTTTGCAAATGATATGGAATTATCCCAAATCATCTTGAAAACAGCAGGTAGAATTAGCTAGTGGAATGTACCTTGGCTAAGAAAGATTCCCTCAGACATACTGTCTCTGTAATATACTGCTAGGCTACCCTAGGAAATTATCCCTGTGTGTGCCATCTGTATTAAAATGGTTATTAAGTTATGAACAGGGTAACATAATACTGATCGGCTAATTATACACCCTCCTAAAAAACCTCCAGGTCTCTGTTACTCTCTCAGTCAGGTATTGAAATAATAACAGTTTGACATTCAGACACCTTACAAAGGCAGCTGTGGAAGGACAGCCAGCTATCCCTGAGAGGAATTCAGCTGGTGGTACAGAAGTCCAGAAGAATGGCTCTGGGCTCTTCAGAGGAAGAGCATATTACAGATCCAATGCATGTGCATACTTCAGCTAGCTCAAGGGATGTTAGCAGCCAAATGTTGCTGAAGTCCCAGCCTCATGCCTGGGTTGAGATGTCCCAGGCAGAAGGCAGAGCACAGGTTTTGCTTCCACCTTTGCTACCAGTTTGTGGCTGGGCTTTGGGGTTCTGTACCTCAGTTTCCCCACCCTGTAACTGAAAACTGATCCTTCTCAGAAGCAGGTGGGAACAGGTGTCAGATTGTGCTTATAAAATGCTTTGAGAAGGACAAGAACTTTGCAGCTACTAAGTGTTATTACATTGAAGAGGCTCAGCTGTGACCCACCATGCTTGATTCATACTGCGATGGAATTTGAGTGTGTGGTCACCAAGGCACAAGAACATTTTGACATCCTATGAGTAAGTCTCCATTTCTTTTAAAAATTCAGGCCCCTGCTTTGTATGGGGCTCCTCAAAACGTGTCTATGAGAAAGTGAGCCCATCATATCGCAGGTCATAATATTTGCAAGTCTGTGCTAGGCGAGAACAGGATAGCAAACCAGGAAAAAATTCAGTGGAATAGCAAAGAGCAAGTATATAAGGGCCCAATCCTGGTGCCGCGGAGAGTAGCATGAGCTTCATCATTCCAGTGACTTTTGTGACTCCAGCTCACAAAACCCACAAAACACAAAGAGGGTCTAAGTTCATGATTTAAATACAAATTTTCTCTCTCTCTCTCCCATTGTCAAAACAGACATACAGAATTGGGTCAATCTCTTGTAACAGCACATCCCTTACCAGTACTACGATCACAAATCGGAGTTAATCTAACACTCCAAGTCTCTGAGCAGTTTTGGATAGATGACACTTTAAAATCCCAACCTTCTAGAAATATCTGTCATCTTATTTTTGCAAAATATGGAATTTCCAAAGCAAAATCTGCATTGGTCCAGTGTCCAGAACTATTACTGCTCGTCCAGGAGCAGTTTAACTTCTTGAAACCGTAAGTGAGGCATTTGTGAAAATACAAGTTACCTATGTCCTTAGATAGACCATGAATATTGTGCTTCAAAATAGAGATCCCTTGTACACACTAACAAAATACTTTTGGTTATTCTAAGATTTTCTGAAAGTGTATTAATTACATTTTATTTTCTTTCTGGGGAACCATCTAACATTACTAAAGGCTTTTGGGGGAGTGCCTGCAAAACAGCGCAGTTTCAGTTCCACTTTTAGAGTCTCCCTAAAACATTAAAAAATCCATTTTCTATTAATTATTTTGTGATATATAAATTCTCTGTGCCTGTGTTGCACTGATCTGCCAGTATTGCACTGACAATATCAGGAAGCATTTGGGACAGCATGTAATTCAGTGTTGAGATTTATCAAACACTTGCTCATACCAAACTCAGGCAGATAAAGGCTAGATGCAAACTCTAGTGAAAATCATGACTTAACTACCCTGTCAAGAGTCAGGAAAAAAATTTAAGTCTGCTATGCAGTAATTTTCCTTTAATTATGGCAAAAAAGTCTAGAGAGTATGCTACTTAATAAGCAAAGCGCACCAGAACTGACAGGATCAAGAGAGAAGAGTTATCTCTGCACTGGGAGCTTTCCTGTTCCCACTTCATACATTTGACACGATACAGTATAAGCCTGTTGTGCGTGTGTAGGTACACACATGTATACACACATAAATGCACTATGTAAACACCTATATACATACTGCATGCAATTGAGAAGCGTGCAAGTGACAAGCTCTTAATTCCTTGGTAAGCAGTTCATGCTTACTTTAAATCACTTGAGCATCTTTCTTCTTGAGCACCCTGTCAAACTTTTCCATTTGTCATATGAATATAAATGAGTTATCTCTGGTCAGTTTGGGTTAGAATATTTCAACTGGACTTAGGCACTGCCGTGAGCCTTGTGGCAGTCTCTTAAAGTATGAACTCAGAGGCAGATGTCAGGGAGAATTTTCCCTTTGTTTTCCAGCACGTACAGTTAGTCTAAGAACACAGGTTTCCTGAGATAATAATCACCCCACAAAAATCTTTTGAATTAGGTGGTGTACTTTAGTGGGAACAGGATGGAACACATCACGACATGCGCTCACGGTTATGCAGCGAGTGATGCAATTGTAGTTTAAGCATGATTTCCTGCTTCTCTTAAATTAATGAATTCTTTACAGGCCCAGAAGGGCAAACTCCCCCCACCCTCCTTCAGCCAAATACGTCCCTCTATCTCAGCTCTCCTGTGGCTGGGCTCCGTCCTAGGGAGCCCCGATTAGTCCTTACCCAAGGAATGCCAAAGCCAAAGTATTACGGAAGCCAGTCAGCTGAATTCATACACTTTGGACCCTGAGTTCCTAAGAGTAACCCTAATTAATACCCCACAGCAGAGAACAGAGTTTAGTGGATATATTATCTCAGTCAAGCCGTTAGGTGTTTTTCAATCTTTACTTAGGTACTGGATATACATTAAATTTTTGGTGTTAAGTGCTTGGTTTGGGGAGATGTTTCCTCTTTCATTATACAACAATCGGCTAATGATTCCTAGTTAAAGTCTCTGATAATGATGTGCTTTTTAAAAAGCACATGTGGGAAGACACACACACACACTGATTCAGGTTGTAATGACCGATGAAATATACTTGTACACTGAAGTGCTATTGCTCATGTGGCCATTTTGGTGGCTGTGCGCAGGCCTTCAGTTTAGGGTGAAGAATGGCATATTAGGAGAACAGATTTCTCTTACCACTAACTTTCTGGTTGATCTTGGGCCAGTCACACAGACTGCTTCTGAGGCTGCTTTGCCAGCTGTTAAATAAAAATAACAGCATTTAGCTACCTTTGTAAAACCCAGTGTGACTTTTCACTAAAAATGCCCATGGAATTCAACATGCAATGAGAAAAGGCTCAAAACTGGACCCAGGGTTGTTCTACATCAGCTGAGGTTCTAGCCCACACAAGAACTGAACAGAACCTCAATTCAGGTAAACGTAACATCTCAAGACAAACAATTGAGTCTGGCAAAAAGCAAGTGATTTAGGGCAGGGGCTGTGTCACACGCGGAAGAAATCAATGTTATGCAAACAGCTTTCTGAGTCACTCTTGCTATCCTCCCTTGAGAATTTTCCCAAAGGACACCCTGGCCAAAGTCACTTGTGAATCTCACAATGTCTTTCCTACAGAAAAAAATGTAATTCTTGGGGGACAGGTAACGAGTCTAGGGAGAAGCTGGAAGAGTACAGAGTATCTCTAACAGCACCTCGTTCATAGGGACCAAAACCAGTGACAGCTGCATGGCCCACAGTGAACACAGGGTGAATCACACAGTTTTAAGTGGCAAGTGTGTGTGTGTGCAAGTGTCACACAAACCTACCACCACCATCAGTATTTAGTAGCCACAAGTCAGCTTTCTCACTAGAGAGGCCAAGGATTAGACTGGCCATGTAGACTGGATTAGTCTATGGCTGACCATGTGTTTGTTGGTGTAAGGCAGGGGTGAAGAAAACTTGCTGACACTACTCAACAGAGTTCACCAGGCCTCATAACATGGTGCTTCCTAGCACACACAGAAGAAACTCGGGATGCTATCAGGAATCCTCTCCCTTAGTTGATGCTGAGCTTAAGGTTCCCATGTGGTTTTCTGCATCAGGGCACGTTCTCAAGGTACAACACCTCTATCGCCAGTTGCTCTCAGCTGAGCAAAGAAAGCGATTGGGTCACCTAGGGCTTCATTACAGGGAATATGCTCCTTTAAATTCAGATTCTTTTCCATCAGACACAAACCTGGCATTATCTTCTTTTTATCATTGCAAATAAAGGACAGGCTCATAAAGCAGAGGTTACAGACAATGTTACTGCAGCTGAAAGAGTAAATGAATGCTCACAGCATTTCTCTTTGTCTTATTCCTCATATCTGGCCACTGGAAGGTTGTATGGCGGGAACTACAATAAGCTAGATGCATTTTTTCTGGTTTTCATATTACAGAGATATTAGCTCAACAGAGGTAGTTAGCAAGTAAAATTGGTTGTGCCTGGGAAGTTTGAGCTCTCTGTTCTGTGAACCTTGAAGTTCAGAACCACATTGGTCCCTTTATCACCTGAAAATCCCAGCCCTTCTTTTTTGCATAGACGTACAGAAAGCTTGATTTTTGTTGGAAGTTAAACATTTTCAAGCTTTTGCATCTAGTGAGTGATTGCTGCATTCTGCCACAGAGGTAGCTGCATTTCAGTGCTGGGTGAGTGAGTCTTATGGAGCTAAACCTCATTTACCAGAATCGCTATTATGTAAAAAAACTCATTTGACTTTGGGAGAAAAGAAGAGAAAATATAAGTGGCTTGGCCAAGCAATGATGAAGTGGTGAGAACAATACAGTGATCTGAAGGACACAGTTCCTCCAGCAGGAAAGGAATTATTAGTGTTTAAACAAAGCACCATTGCCAGGAGTGAACGGAGGGGAATAAGAAAGGAAACATTTAAATGGTAGCAGAAGGTATCCCCTGATAGGGATGTCCATTAAGTTGTGGAATTGCATCCCATAGGAATTCCTGATTTCTTGGAATATATATGGCATATATAGATGGCATTAATAAAAAGCAAACATACAATAAGAAATAATCTTGTGTTGGCTAAAGAGATAGATAATGCTCTAGCAGACCAGCTGGACCATTTATGATATGATGACATGATGCATACAAAACAAAGTCATGTTTTCAGTTGTACATCAAATATCCTAGAAAACCTGCCTCCGATCCTAAAGCCCATTCAAACAAAATATTTCCATATTACTTGAATAAAAAGACATGACTTCTAAACAGTTGGACAAGGCTGAGCTTCACTTATATTCCACGGTCTTCAAATTCAGGCATGTTGAAATTCAAATGGAGTTTAGGCTCTCTACTTACAGTTGGCAAAATATTCAGGGATCCCACTTTTGGGGAGGGTCTCTATAAATGCAAAGGTAGAGACTTCCAAAAGTGTTTGTCACTAGCCTGACATCTGTACAGCTAACTAGGGCTTTAGGAAATCCCATCTGCGTGTAAATGGCTCAGATGATGAATACTACTCGTGAAAGCATCAGAGAGGTTTGATTTTTTTTTCTCCCACAAAATTTTCTTTAAACAGAGAGCTAAGAGGAATGAGGATTTTCCCACTGTAATTCCAATTAATCTATTCAACCCCATACACGCATGGCCGTATTTACCACTCCCAACTGTTTAAAAATGCCAAGGCAGTGTCTAAATCATGCAATTGGCATAAAAATCACTACTAGTTGTAATACAATATGGGTTTGTTTTTATTTGTTTTCTCTTTTCTACCCTAAATTTTAAAAGGGATTTGGACATCTGACTCCCATTAAACAATTAAAAACACCTTAACAATGCAGCCCTTTGAGTCTCCAGAGAGCTGACAGGTCCCTTTTCAAGCCCCCCCCAGGCACTGGAAACGTACTTTATTAAATGAGAACTGAAATTCTCATGCTATCACTCGACTAGAGGAGCTAGAAAACCCACAACAAATACCGTTAGGCTTGTGATGAAATACTAGACAGTAGGATATTCAGCACTAGCCTCCAATTTTCTTTAGTGCCAGTAACAGAGCTGATTTTGTAGCACTTATATGGCTATGTACCCAGCTGAAAATCACAAATCTAATCACTCCGTTTCCAAACTCCTCAGAGTGCACTTGCAAATATTCATTTCCAATCAATTTGCACCTGCTAATATTTCTCAACGCTCACATGTGATGACAGAGTCAGAAGCAATGCCAGTGCTTACTATTTCTATTGCAATAGCATAAAGAAGCTCTGTGCATAGATCACAGCCCATTGTCCAAAACAGGCACAGCATAAATAGGAATTCCTTTCGAGAGGATCTTTTACGAAATCTCTATATACACACCTTTCTTTACACCATTGCCTTAGCTTCTACCAGGCTCGTAATTCAGACAGTCCTCAAGGTTTCAGGGATCCTGAAACAAACATCTTTGTTGTAGGGAATGAAACATCTGGCCAGGGCTCACCCACCAAGCCCAAGTCCAGGTAAAAGGCAGAGCAGAACTGGAGAGACACCCTTTTTGGGGTCATACCTGACAAGACAGAGGCTGAACACTAGCCAGACTGCGACAGCCTCCCCCCTCTTCCCCGATAAGTAGGCATATAAATAAATAAATAAACGGCATCCTAACTGCACTGAGAACTCAATAAAACAATCACATCAAATATGAGGAGGTATAAATCTCATGTCTGCACAGGTAACCCACTCAATTGCTTTTATTATGGCTCAGCCTGACTCCATTTATTACTATCCGTGGCCTAGGTGAAGGATGTTTGCATGGAGGGTGGTCTCCTGGTGAAATCCTATCCCTGGAGCAGTGACAATCAGCCCATATAGAGGTGGATTTTGGTGGGGAGACCAAAGGCAGATCTATCTGTCTGCATGAAAACCAATCAATAACCCTGTAACTAGACCCCTTGTCACTGGGAAATGGACAACACAATAGTTCAATCCTGGAGCCATAGGAGAGGAATAGCTGTGGTAGAGGTGTGAAGAATGACAGGATGTACACATGAAGTGTTTGAGACATATGGACAGAATACGTCTGTCCATATAGACATTGAGAGGCAGTGATGGAGTAGGAGGAGCATAGAAGGTACATTTATATATATAGTAAGCAAATCTGAAAAGTTGATGTGTTCAGAGGAGGGTATGGGGAAGGTAAAAGCAGAGTTATGCTGCATTTTTTTATAGGACATTTATAGGAGGACTGTGAGCACAATGCAGATAGGCACCTTTGGGGAACTGCTCCTGATGGTTGGAGAGTACACATGAGTGGATCAGTATATGGCAGGGAGTGTGTCTCTGGGTAGGTACATAGACAGTGACACAAAATGCTGGTAGGCTAAAGGAAGCATATGTGGGAGTTCGATGTGGTTGGGGAAGGATATTCCTTTGTCCTCTGTCTGGCTTGGGATTTATGTGTGTACTAGTTTTGACAGAGAGGAGGCAGAGTGATGTGCCAAAAGCCTGAATTAACGGACTGTGAGTTCACAGATAGGTTTCCCAGAGAATACTATGTATGAAACATTTACCCAAACCTCACTGTTAAATCAGGAAGGGAGATTCTGGTGGCTTGTCTCTGCCTGGTTGAAAAATAGAAATAGGACATTTCTTGCTGCTGTCATCCCTTAGCTCTGCAGTTCCTATAGCTTTTCTAAAATCTGCACAGCGTATTGATCCCCAGGCTTCTAGCAGCTCCCCCAACACACGCACATATGCATACATACAGAGAAATGCTTGACTTTGCCTCTATTAATTGTTCCTGCCTGGGGCCAATTTAGTTTTTATTCTTTTGGCTCCATTTTGAACAGTTCCTCCTCCTTCCAAGATAAGCACCCTTCCCCCTCTGCAGGGTCCAAGGCACAGGGTTAAACATCCATCTCTGGTTGGGAGGCAAATTGCATCAGGAATTGCTATCAGCTCTGCTCAAAATGCCCATCACTGTAGTTCAGTTGAGAGGGTGGCATCCATGTTTTGCAAGACAGACTAATGTCTGTTCATTAGTTTATAAAAAGAAAACCAGAGACTGTGATGAGAAGACAAAATCACAAAAGAAACTCTCACGTACCTGTCAGACAGGATGCCCTGCACCACCTCTAGTTTCAGGGTAGTTTGGAGGGTTCTGGTAACAACCCAGTCCCTGTTTGGTCATGGACAGTTAATATCCCAGTCCTTCAATTCCCGGATCTAGTCCTCATTTTCTTCAAGCTGAGCTGAAATATGAGGGCAACCTCATTGCCCCACTGCCCATT